CGTCAGACAGTGTTGTGGTGGGCCCCCAGACAGTGTTGTGGTGGGCCCTCAGACAGTGTTGTGGTGGGCCCTCAGACAGTGTTGTGGTGGGCCCTCAGACAGTGTTGTGGTGGGCCCTCAGACAGTGTTGTGTTGTGGTGGGCCGTCAGACAGTGTTGTGGTGGGCCCTCAGACAGTGTTGTGGTGGGCCCTCAGACAGTGTTGTGTTGTGGTGGGCCGTCAGACAGTGTTGTGGTGGGCCGTCAGACAGTGTTGTGGTGGGCCCTCAGACAGTGTTGTGGTGGGCCCTCAGACAGTGTTGTGGTGGGCCGTCAGACAGTGTTGTGGTGGGCCGTCATACAGTGTTGTTGTGGTGGGCCGTCAGACAGTGTTGTGGTGGGCCCCCAGACAGTGTTGTGGTGGGCCCCCAGACAGTGTTGTGGTGGGCCCCCAGACAATATTGTGGTGGGCCCCCAAACAGTGTTGTGGTGGGCCCTCAGACAGTGTTGTGGTGGGCCCCCAGACAGTGTTGTGGTGGGCCCTCAGACAGTGTTGTGGTGGGACCCCAGACAGTGTTGTGGTGGGACCCCAGACAGTGTTGTGTTGTGGTGGGCCCCCAGACAGTGTTGTGGTGGGCCCTCAGACAGTGTTGTGGTGGGCCCTCAGACAGTGTTGTGGTGGGCCCCCAGACAGTGTTGTGGTGGGCCCTCAGACAGTGTTGTGGTGGGACCCCAGACAGTGTTGTGTTGTGGTGGGCCCCCAGACAGTGTTGTGGTGGGCCCCCAGACAGTGTTGTGTTGTGGTGGGCCCCCAGACAGTGTTGTAGTGTGGTGGGCCCCCAGACAGTGTTGTTGTGTGGTGGGCCCCCAGACAGTGTTGTAGTGTGGTTGGCCCCCAGACAGTGTTGTAGTGTGGTGGGCCCCCAGACAGTGTTGTGTTGTGGTGGGCCCCCAGACAGTGTTGTGTTGTGGTGGGCCCCCAGACAGTGTTGTAGTGTGGTGGGCCCCCAGACAGTGTTGTGGTGGGCCCCCAGACAGTGTTGTAGTGTGGTTGGCCCCCAGACAGTGTTGTAGTGTGGTGGGCCCCCAGACAGTGTTGTGTTGTGGTGGGCCCCCAGACAGTGTTGTAGTGTGGTGGGCCCCCAGACAGTGTTGTGGTGGGCCCCCAGACAGTGTTGTGTTGTGATGGGCCCCCAGACAGTGTTGTAGTGTGGTGGGCCCCCAGACAGTGTTGTGGTGTGGTGGGCCCCCAGACAGTGTTGTGGTGTGGTGGGCCCCCAGACAGTGTTGTGTTGTGGTGGGCCCCCAGACAGTGTTGTGGTGTGCCCCCAGACAGTGTTGTGTTGAGGTGGGCCCCCAGACAGTGTTGTGTTGTGGTGGGCCCCCAGACAGTGTTGTGGTGTGGTGGGCCCCCAGACAGTGTTGTGGTGTGGTGGGCCCCCAGACAGTGTTGTGTTGTGGTGGGCCCCCAGACAGTGTTGTGGTGTGGTGGGCCCCCAGACAGTGTTGTGTTGAGGTGGGCCCCCAGACAGTGTTGTGTTGTGGTGGGCCCCCAGACAGTGTTGTGGTGTGGTGGGCCCCCAGACAGTGTTGTGGTGTGGTGGGCCCCCAGACAGTGTTGTGGTGGGCCCCCAGACAGTGTTGTGTTGTGGTGGGCCCCCAGACAGTGTTGTGTTGTGGTGGGCCCCTAGACAGTGTTGTGGTGGGCCCCCAGACAGTGTTGTGTTGAGGTGGGCCCCCAGACAGTGTTGTGTTGTGGTGGGCCCCCAGATAGGGTTGTGGTGTGGTGGGCCCCCAGACAGTGTTGTGGTGGGCCCCCAGACAGTGTTGTGTTGTGGTGGGCCCCCAGACAGTGTTGTGGTGGCCCCCAGACAGTGTTGAGGTGGGCCCTCAGACAGTGTTGTGGTGTGGTGGGCCCCCAGACAGTGTTGAGGTGGGCCCCCAGACAGTGTTGTGTTGTGGTGGGCCCCCAGACAGTGTTGTGGTGGGCCCCCAGACAGTGTTGTAGTGAGGTGGGCCCCCAGACAGTGTTGAGGTGGGCCCCCAGACAGTGTTGAGGTGGGCCCCCAGACAGTGTTGTGTTGTGGTGGGCCCCCAGACAGTGTTGTGGTGGGCCCCCCAAACAGTGTTGTGGTGGGGTGGGCCCCCAGACAGTGTTGTGGTGGGCCCCCAGACAATGTTGTAGTGTGGTGGGCCCCCAGACAGTGTTGTGTTGTGGTGGGCCCCCAGACAGTGTTGTGGTGGGCCCCCAAACAGTGTTGTGGTGGGCCCCCCAAACAGTGTTGTGGTGGGCCCCCCAAACAGTGTTGTGGTGGTGTGGGAGGGGAGCGTAGTGTTCAACACAGTGTATTTACTGTGGTTGGTGAACTAACCTCCACCACTGTTATAATGTAAATATTAATGATGTATATTATCGTTGTTGCTGAGCACTTGACAAGAATCAAAATATCCCTTAGCCACACCCTGAGGGCACTATAGTGGTCCAGCCACACCCTGAGGGCACTATAGTGGTCCAGCCACACCCTGAGGGCACTATAGTGGTCTAGCCACACCCTGAGGGCACTATAGTGGTCCAGCCACACCCTGAGGGCACTATAGTGGTCCAGCCACACCCTGAGGGCACTATAGTGGACCAGCCACACCCTGAGGGCACTATAGTGGACCAGCCACACCCTGAGGGCACTATAGTGGACCAGCCACACCCTGAGGGCACTATAGTGGACCAGCCACACCCTGAGGGAACTATAGTGGACCAGCCACACCCTGAGGGCACTATAGTGGACCACCCACACCCTGAGGGCACTATAGTGGACCAGACACACCCTGAGGGCACTATAGTGGGCCAGCAACACCCTGAGGGCACTATAGTGGACCAGCCACACCTTGAGGGCACTATAGTAGACCAGCCACACCCTGAGGGCACTACAGTGGACCAGCCACACCCTGAGGGCACTATAGTGGGCCAGCCACACCCTGAGGGCACTATAGTGGATCAGCCACACCCTGAGGGCACTATAGTGGACCAGCCACACCCTGAGGGCACTATAGTGGACCAGCCACACCCTGAGGGCACTATAGTGGGTCAGCCACACCCTGAGGGCACTATAGTGGACCAGCCACACCCTGAGGGCACTATAGTGGACCAGCCACACCCTGAGGGCACTATAGTGGACCAGCCACACCCTGAGGGCACTATAGTGGACCAGCCACACCCTGAGGGCACTATAGTAAACCAGCCACACCCTGAGGGCACTATAGTGGACCAGCCACACCCTGAGGGCACTATAGTGGGTCAGCCACACCCTGAGGGCACTATAGTGGACCAGCCACACCCTGAGGGCACTATAGTGGACCAGCCACGCCCTGAGGGCACTATAGTGGGCCAGCAACACCCTGAGGGCACTATAGTGGACCAGCCACACCTTGAGGGCACTATAGTGGACCAGCCACACCCTGAGGGCACTACAGTGGACCAGCCACACCCTGAGGGCACTATAGTGGGCCAGCCACACCCTGAGGGCACTATAGTGGACCAGCCACACCCTGAGGGCACTATAGTGGACCAGCCACACCCTGAGGGCACTATAGTGGACCAGCCACACCCTGAGGGCACTATAGTGGACCAGCCACACCCTGAGGGCACTATAGTGGACCAGCCACACCCTGAGGGCACTATAGTGGACCAGCCACACCCTGAGGGCACTATAGTGGACCAGCCACACCCTGAGGGCACTATAGTGGACCAGCCACACCCTGAGGGCACTATAGTGGACCAGCCACACCCTGAGGGCACTATAGGGGTCCAGCCACACCCTGAGGGCACTATAGTGGCCCAGCCACACCCTGAGGGCACTATAGTGGGCCAGCCACACCCTGAGGGGCACTATAGTGGGCCAGTCACACCCTGGGGGACACTATAGTGGCCCAGCCACACCCTGAGGGCACTACAGTGGTCCAGCCACACCCTGAGGGCACTATAGTGGGCCAGCCACACCCTGAGGGGCACTATAGTGGGCCAGCAACACCTTGAGGGCACTATAGTGGGCCAGCCACACCCTGAGGGCACTATAGTGGGCCAGCCACACCCTGAGGGGCACTATAGTGGGCCAGCAACACCCTGAGGGGCACTATAGTGGGCCAGCAACACCCTGAGGGCACTATAGTGGGCCAGCCACACCCTGAGGGCACTATAGTGGGCCAGCAACACCCTGAGGGCACTATAGTGGGCCAGCAACACCCTGAGGGCACTATAGTGGGCCAGCCACACCCTGAGGGCACTATAGTGGGCCAGCCACACCCTGAGGTCACTATAGTGGGCCAGCAACACCCTGAGGGCACTATAGTGGTCCAGCCACACCCTGAGGGCACTATAGTGGTCCAGCCACACCCTGAGGGCACTATAGTGGGCCAGCCACACCCTGAGGGCACTATAGTGGGCCAGCCACACCCTGAGGGCACTATAGTGGGCCAGCAACACCCTGAGGGCACTATAGTGGGCCAGCAACACCCTGAGGGCACTATAGTGGGCCAGCCACACCCTGAGGGCACTATAGTGGGCCAGCCACACCCTGAGGGCACTATAGTGGGCCAGCCACACCCTGAGGGCACTATAGTGGGCCAGCCACACCCTGAGGGCACTATAGTGGGCCAGCCACACCCTGAGGGCACTATAGTGGGCCAGCAACACCCTGAGGGCACTATAGTGGGCCAGCAACACCCTGGGGGACACTATAGTGGGCCAGCCACACCCTGAGGGCACTATAGTAAACCAGCCACACCCTGAGGGGCACTATAGTGGCCCAGCCACACCCTGAGGGGCACTATAGTCGCCCAGCAACACCCTGAGGGCACTATAGTGGTCCAGCCACACCTTGAGGGCACTATAGTGGGCCAGCAACACCCTGAGGGCACTATAGTGGTCCAGCCACACCCTGAGGGCACTATAGTGGTCCAGCCACACCCTGAAGGCACTATAGTGGGCCAGCCACACCCTGAGGGCACTATAGTGGGTCAGTGTCCCCTGGGGGACACTATAGTCGGCCAGCCACACCCTGAGGGCACTATAGTGGACCAGCAACACCCTGAGGGCACTATAGTGGGCCAGCAACACCCTGAGGGCACTATAGTGGGCCAGCAACACCCTGAGGGCACTATAGTGGGCCATCAATACCCTGAGGGCACTATAGTGGGCCAGCAACACCCTGAGGGCACTATAGTGGCCCAGCCACACCCTGAGGGCACTATAGTGGGCCAGCAACACCCTGAGGGCACTATAGTGGCCCAGCCACACCCTGAGGGCACTATAGTGGGCCAGCAACACCCTGGGGGACACTATAGTGGGCCAGCCACACCCAGGGACGTGGTGCCTTAAAGCCTCTACTCAACATAAAATATTTTACTTGCTCATATTTGTGCCTGGAATTAATGTACAGCTTTTGAAGAACACTGATTTATCTGTGCAATTAATAAATATATTTGTGTCTTTTTAAAGATGTTGTAATACTAGTGAGGCTGCGAACGCCTTTATATATGTACAACGAACGACATTTTGAGTGGTACAAATTGTGCAGTGAAATATCTTGATGGTGGATCACCAGAGGCGCCACAGGACACATTGTTGTGACACACCCAGGTCCTCCAGCACCAGGTGGTCGGTAGTGGTGTGGAGACCCGCCTGGCGAGGAGGAGAACGGAGGCCAGTTGAGGCGGTTGAGGGGTGACTGAGGTGACGATGTTGACACCCACTCTTGCCCTCACTTGCCACGCCACCTCCACCCCTACAACACCTACAGTAACTACCTGTATCATGTAAGTCTTTGTTTAATGAAACCTTCACAACATGGGATCATACGTACCTTTGAGGTTGTTGTTCTTAGTTGTTTATTATAACTGCGTGTTACCTGGTTGACCAACCCGTCCTCTTAAAAATAACGTCACTTTTGGCTCGTATGCGCGGCACTATGGCCAAATTTGGACGTAATTTAAAATGAAATCGACTCACAAAAGTGACGTTCTGTTCCGTTTTCTATTTGAGTCGTCCGGCGTACGCGCAGAGGTTATAAGAGGACACTTTAAATTCACGTTTTTCATAACGTTTTGAAACTTTATGAGAATTTCCTGCCCACCTAACCTATCAGAGGACCCTTAACTTACTGTTGTTGAAAAAAAAATCCCAAATTTATTTTCATTTTTTTTTTCATTTTCAAATTACGTCCAAATTCGGCCATACGGACAAACGACCAAAAGCGACGTTCTTTTTAAGAGGACAGGTTGCCTTGATGGGGTTCTGGGAGTTCTTCTACTCCCCAAGCCCGGCCCGGGGCCAGGCTTGACTTGTGAGAGTTTGGTCCACCAGGCTGTTGCTTGGAGCGGCCCGCAGGCCCACATATACCTGGTTGATGGGGTTCTGGGAGTTCTTCTACTCCCCAAGCCCGGCCCGAGGCCAGGCTTGACTTGTGAGAGTTTGGTCCACCAGGCTGTTGCTTGGAGCGGCCCGCAGGCCCACATATACCTGGTTGATGGGGTTCTGGGAGTTCTTCTACTCCCCAAGCCCGGCCCGAGGCCAGGCTTGACTTGTGAGAGTTTGGTCCACCAGGCTGTTGCTTGGAGCGGCCCGCAGGCCCACATACCCACCACAGCCCGGTTGGTCCGGCACTCCTTGGAGGAAACAATCTAGTTTCCTCTTGAAGATGTCCACGGTTGTTCCGGCAATATTTCTTATGCTCGCTGGGAGGACGTTGAACAACAGCGGACCTCTGATGTTTATACAGTGCTCTCTGATTGTGCCTATGGCACCTCTGCTCTTCACTGGTTCTATTCTGCATTTTCTTCCATATCGTTCACTCCAGTACGTTTTATTTTACTGTGTAGATTTGGGACCTGGCCCTCCAGTATTTTCCATGTGTATATTATTTGGTATCTCTCTCGTCTCCTTTCTAGTGAGTACATTTGGAGAGCTTTGAGACGATCCCAATAATTTAGGTGTTTTATCGCGTCTATGTAACAAAGGAACAAAGTTTTCGATTGGGCAGCAGAAAATAACATGATGTTTACCAGTGATAAATTCCAGGTACTCCGGTACGGTAAAAATGAGGACCTTAAACATAATACAGGGTACAAAACACAATCAAATGTGCCCATAGTAGGAAAGCAGCATGTAAAGGATTTGGGAATAATGATGTCCGGCGACCTAACGTTTAGGGAGCATAACCAAGCAAATATTGCGGCAGCCAGAAAAATGATAAGATGGATTACGAGAACTTTCAAATCCAGGGATCCCATCACAATGGCTGTACTCTTCAAGTCACTTGTGTTGTCCCGTCTTGAGTACTGCTCAGTACTCACTTCCCCCTTCAGAGCAGGAGAGATTGCTGAAATAGAGGGAATACAGAGAACATATACGGCACGCATAGACGAGATAAAACACCTAAATTATTGGGATCGTCTCAAAGCTCTCCAAATGTACTCACTAGAAAGGAGACGAGAGAGATACCAAATAATATACACATGGAAAATACTGGACGGCCAGGTCCCTAATCTAGACAGTAAAATAACAACGTACTGGAGTGAACGATATGGAAGAAAATGCAGAATAGAACCAGTGAAGAGCAGAGGTGCCATAGGCACAATCAGAGAACACTGTATAAACATCAGAGGTCCGCGGTTGTTCAACACCCTCCCAGCGAGCATAAGAAATATTGCCGGAACAACCGTGGACGTCATTAGTGTCCATGAAACTAGTGACCTGACTTCTGATCACTCTCTCAAATACTTTTATTATGTGGGACGTTAGTGCAACTGGTCTATAATTCTTTGCCAATGCTTTGCTCCCTCCCTTGTGTAGAGGGGCTATGTCTGCTGCTTTAAACACATTTGGTATCTCCCCCGTGTCCAAGCTCTTCCTCCACACTATACTGAGTGCCTGTGCTACCGGCACTTTGCATTTCTTTATAAATATTAAAACGTGTTTGAGACCGAATTTGTACTTCAGCACATAAAGTCAGTAGTTCTATTCATTCAATGGGATTTCTATTACTTACAAGAGGCTCCCATTGAATGTTCGTAAGATCCCTGTTTATTTCTTCCCAATCTCTCGTTTTATTAATACAATTAAATTGATTGAATAACCTTCGCGCTTGATAATTTGTTTAGACCTACCTGGAGCATACCTACCTGGAGCATACCTGGAGCATACTTAGAGCATACCTGGAGCATACTTAGAGCATACTTAGAACATACCTGGAGCGTACTTGGAGCATACCTGGAGCATACTTAGAGCATACCTGGAGCATACTTAGAGCATACCTGGAGCATACTTAGAGCATACTTGGTGCATATCTGGAGCATACTTAGAGCATACCTGGAGCATACTTAGAGCATACCTGGAGCATACTTAGAGCATACCTGGAGCATACTTAGAGCATACTTAGAGCATACCTGGAGGATGCCTGGAGCATAATTGGAGCATGCTTGGAGCATACCTGGTGGATGCCTGGAGCATAATTGGAGCATGCTTGGAGCATACTTGGCTCATACTTGGAGCATACTTGGCTCATACCTGGAGCATGCTTGGAGCATACTTGGAGCATACTTAGAGCATACCTGGAGCATACTTGGAGCATACTTGGCTCATACCTGGAGCATACTTGGAGGATGCTTGGAGCATACCTGGAGCATTCTTGGAGCATACCTGGAGCATACCTGGAGCATACTTGAATACCGGGAGAACAATAAAGAAGTATTGACGAACATCGGGATATAAATAATGTAATAAAAAAGGTAAAAAAATGTCTCGAGTGACATTATTGAATAAAGAAAAAGATTATCAAAGTTATCCCTAAGAAGCAGAGGCGAGAGAGTGGGCACTCGGCAGAAAACAGAATGTATTTCATTTTGTGCATAAACTCAAGCGTTTCTGCCTTCCATGTGTGTGGCCAAGACACACAATGTTCTAGGTAACACAGAGCAGAGAACTTACATATTGGGACCTATTGTAACAGAGTGTTACTGGCCATGTTAGGCCAGTGTGGTGCACACGGTGACTGGTGGACATCTGTTACTGCCCATTTTGGCCCTGGTTGATACCTGGTTGATGGGGTTCTGGGAGTTCTTCTACTCCCCAAGCCCGGCCCGAGGCCAGGCTTGACTTGTGAGAGTTTGGTCCACCAGGCTGTTGCTTGGAGCGGCCCGCAGGCCCACATATACCTGGTTGATGGGGTTCTGGGAGTTCTTCTACTCCCCAAGCCCGGCCCGAGGCCAGGCTTGACTTGTGAGAGTTTGGTCCACCAGACTGTTGCTTGGAGCGGCCCGCAGGCCCACATATACCTGGTGATGGGGTTCTGGGAGTTCTTCTACTCCCCAAGCCCGGCCCGAGGCCAGGCTTGACTTGTGAGAGTTTGGTCCACCAGGCTGTTGCTTGGAGCGGCCCGCAGGCCCACATATACCTGGTTGATGGGGTTCTGGGAGTTCTTCTACTCCCCAAGCCCGGCCCGAGGCCAGACTTGACTTGTGAGAGTTTGGTCCACCAGGCTGTTGCTTGGAGCGGCCCGCAGGCCACATATACCTGGTTGATGGGGTTCTGGGAGTTCTTCTACTCCCCAAGCCCGGCCGGAGGCCAGGCTTGACTTGTGAGAGTTTGGTCCACCAGGCTGTTGCTTGGAGCGGCCCGCAGGCCCACATATACCTGGTTGATGGGGTTCTGGGAGTTCTTCTACTCCCCAAGCCCGTCCCGAGGCCAGGCTTGACTTGTGAGAGTTTGGTCCACCAGGCTGTTGCTTGGAGCGGCCCGCAGGCCCACATATACCTGGTTGATGGGGTTCTGGGAGTTCTTCTACTCCCCAAGCCCGGCCCGAGGCCAGGCTTGACTTGTGAGAGTTTGGTCCACCAGGCTGTTGCTTGGAGCGGCCCGCAGGCCCACATATACCTGGTTGATGGGGTTCTGGGAGTTCTTCTACTCCCCAAGCCCGGCCGGAGGCCAGGCTTGACTTGTGAGAGTTTGGTCCACCAGGCTGTTGCTTGGAGCGGCCCGCAGGCCCACATATACCTGGTTGATGGGGTTCTGGGAGTTCTTCTACTCCCCAAGCCCGGCCCGAGGCCAGGCTTGACTTGTGAGAGTTTGGTCCACCAGGCTGTTGCTTGGAGCGGCCTCTTGTCTAATGTAATGACTCCCGACCTATTTGCTCTTACCACATCTACTAGGCCATCTGCTGACTATCCCCAGGATGCAACTCATAACACCTATCTAACATATTTGCTGCTAGGTGAACAGGTTCATCAGGCAAAAGGTAACGTTGCCCAAATGGTTGTGTCGTGGCGCTTGGAGATGAAGGTAAGACATGTCCCAGACAGCGCCGTGGGGCGACTCCATGAATATATTACAAGTCACAGCAGTACCTGTGCCGCCATCACCAGGCCAAATTGTCCACCACAGAACTGAGAACCAAAGGTGCATTAATTGTCGTCTTAACGGGGCTTGATGAGATCTCTTGAGACCTTGAGGTTATCTTGAGATGATTTCGGAGCTTTAGTGTCCCCGCGGCCCGGTCCTCGACCAGGCCTCCACCCCCAGGAAGCAGCCCGTGACACCTGATTAACTCCCAGGTACCTATTTTTACTGCTAGGTAACAGGGGCATAGGGTGAAAGAAACTCTGCCCATTGTTTCTCGCCGGCGCCCGGGATCGAACCCGGGACCACAGGATGACAAGTCCAGCGTGCTGTCCGCTCGGCCGACCGGCTCCCAGTCTACCAGATCAATGAAGTTGTTGTGGGGTGGTGGATGTTTGAGGAGCAGTTAGCTTCCTACCCACCA